GCCCAGGGAGGTGGTTGAGTCACCATCCCTGGAGGTGTTCAAAAAGCGTGTAGATGTGTCACTTGGGATATGGTTTAGCAGGCATGATGGTGTTGGGTGGATGGTTGGACTTGATGATCTTAGAGGTCTTTTCCAACCTATGATTCTATGATTCTGTTCATCATTTGTTTCACTAGGAGAGGCATGAATAAGTCAGTAAAAATACAGATTAAGTATTTTGTGCAACTTCATACAAGCACATCACTGAAGCCAAGAGCTTTGTAGAAATACAAAAAAATCAGTTTGTGTGTGTTTGTGTAATAGGAATTTAGAGAAATATTTTTGTGTTAAAGAAAAACCGTCACTCTTCAAGCCAAAATTGACCTCTTGTCGTTGAGGCTTAGGAAGAAACTTCCCCAATAGGTACATTATAATTGTTTGTTTTAGAAGGTTGTTTGACTTTGTATAATATTCTCAGTATCTCATAGTGTCTTTTATTAGAGAGAAAATTCCCGACTAAGACAGACTAGCAGTTTGGTCAAGCTTGGGCATATCCATTTTTCTGTTCTGAGATAATGTAATTTTCTGCTGGTACTGTGTGTAAGTCAACTCGAAGCTAAAATGTTTTTAAAAGTAGTGGCACATCCTCAAGCCAGGTCATTGACCTGAATTTCATAGCATAATTCGTGTTGCCTAGGGTCAGTACGTTGTGTCCACATTGAACAGCCAGTCCTCCAGGGCGGATGACAAGACCAATTGAAGGCAATCATCAAAACCTGAGGCTGACTACTAAGATACAACTCCAGTTAACGGTAATGAGACGAGGCTTACATATGTAGCAGTAAAGTATACAAGTCTTCAGCTCTGCATACCCTGTTTTCAGTTAATGGTGCCAGGGCAACTGCCTGCTTTGCTGTAATTGTCATACACGTTAGAGATAGCTCATCTATGCTGTCGTTTTGGGCAGCTTTGTGGGATGTTACATGGTTCTGTAACTGTATTTGGCCATTTGCACAAATAGCCATGGGGTTGCTGATACTGTCCTGTTCCCGTACGTTCAGGGCCTCTGCAGTGCTACAGCCTTGGGTGCCCCTGTGAGACTGCTCACATTTACACACACACTTCTTCTAAAGCTACTCACAGTTCACTCTACAGAACAATGAGATTTTAAAGTCTGCATATGTGTTTCTGTATACATATAGAATCACAGAATCACAGAATGGTAGGGGTTGGAAGGGACCTCTTTGGGTCATCTATTCCAACCCTCCTGCTGCAGCAGGGTCACCTACAGTAGGCTGTAGAGGAATATCTAATTATGACAATGTTATTCGCACGAGTTAAAATTTAATTCTTTTTGGGTTGTGGTGAGTATTTTTGTGGAAGATGTGACAATACTATGTTATGCAGACGTAGTGGTAATGAGTCAGGAATTGGCACACTGTCCTCTGAGTCAGGATATTAGGGGGCATTGTGTACCAGAGGTACTTTCTTTGGCTTAGCCTCAGATCTGACCATCTGTGGTCATAAAAGATCCTGGGAATATTTTTGTAATAACCTAGTTTAGTGACCAAATTTGATTATGAGTAATGGCATTTGAATGAACTTTCCAAGATTATTGCTATTACTTCTTTCATAAAATATGCTCTATCATGTTGTTATGTTGTCCTGTTTATATATGTAATTTTATGTTTTTTGATCTGCTATTAATCACATCCAAGGTCAAAAAAAACCAATCATGGCAGATAGCTTGCAAAGCTGTGGAACACTCAAATCCCTTGTGAATATTGATCGTTGAAACTATGCCTGTGTACATAGGCAGTTCAGACGGTGCCTTGAGATGATCAAAGGTTATTGTCTGCAAACAACAGATGCATGACCTCTTCTGCCCCGTTATACTTTTTGGGCATGAAAGTCACTAATCACACTGTTTGTCAGAATTTAAAAGCCTACAGGCAATCTAGACAAACAATGAGAAGTTGTGGTCCACTGGGATCGGATGAATGTTATAAAGCATGCTGAATGCATATTAAAATAAAGGGCCTGCTGTGCTCCGAGGAAATTAATAACTGCCCTTAATTTTCTGTTAGAATTCAAGATAAATTTTAAGGTGTTTGACTAGTTGACTGAAATGTGATTTGATTTGATTTCAGTACACTGGAGGAACTTTAATTAGTTAATACAGATAATTCCTAGACTAATTTCCTTTGAAAACACTTGCTGGATATTTGTAATTTGCATACAGCTGATTCGTACTTCTCTTTTTTTTTGTTACAGGTTAGAACAATACAGATATTTCTGATTAATGTTCTAAGTCAAATATGTGATATAGGGATTAAAGACATATGAAACTTAACAGAGCATGTCTTCCCTAAAATAAGACAGAGGAAAATGTTTAATAACCATCTCAAAATTTTTTTTTCTGGGTTATCCTTAAAATGGTAAATAACAAACTGGAGTAGTATTTGATATTTATATCCAGGAGCTTCTGTCACTGATATTTTTTCATCCCTTCAGCAATATCAGCCTTATCACCTCTGTAAATCAAAACCTTTTGCATTTCTGTGATGGAGACCTGAAATGACATTGTGAGATATCACAGAGTTGTCCCACCTGCTAGCAGTTTAGATCACTCTTAAGAGGCGGGGGTTTTTTTAAAGATCGGTGAGTGTAGAAGCCTGGAATAGAAAGGCTTTTATTTCATTTGCAAGCCACAAACAAGAAGTAATTATTTCTTTGTTATCTTCTGGCAGTGCCCAATAGCTATAATGAGAAATGTATTTTGTCTGAAAACAACCCCAAAACCCACAACCCTCCTCCCCCAGCTACTAAAGTGTCATCTGACTGCAGGGCTTTACGCTGCTTATTGAAAGCCAAAAGCCTGGCTTTGAGTCCAGTGGCTTGTTCTTCAGGCTGGTTAGAGCTGGACCCCTCACAGCGGCAGTGAACAGAGGGGCAGTAGAAGCAGAAGCCTCCGTTGGTGGTTGGGTCGACAAAGGATGGATGAATTCACATGGCAGACTGCATGCGACGTGCAGAAGTCAAGGAAATTATAACGTGTTCTGGCTTCCTGCAGGAAAAAGGAGATAGGCAAGTGTAAATCCCACAAGTGGCTGGCTGGGACAGCGAGCTGAAAGCATGAGACCCTAAAATGACAGGCAAAAATGACTTCTAGGGCTATTCACAGCCACCAGAGGAAACAGGAGTCCTAGGGTAGGTATCCAGTGAAGAAGCCACCCTCACTGACTTGGAAGAATACTGGGCAGACAGAGAACAAAGGGAAAATGTGATGCCTTAGTGATACTATGTTGTTGATATCAGTGTCTTATTGTCCTTTAGGTTTGAAGTTTGAGGAAATGCAAGAAAAGTTTGGGGAGGAATTCTTCAATGTCTGCTTTGATGAGAATGAAAGAGTTCTTCGAGCTGTAGGTGGGACCCTTCAAGACTTCTTCAATGGCTTTGATGCTTTGCTGGAGCACATTAGGACTTCATTTGGAAGACAAGCCACCCTGGAATCCCCTTCTTTCCTATGCAAAGAGCTCCCTGAAGGCAATCTCATGCTTCATTACTTTCACCCACATCAGATTGTGGGATTCGCAATGATGGGAATGATAAAGGCAGCAGCAAAGAAGATTTACCGCTTGGAAGTGGAAGTAGAACAGGTCACTAATGATAAGTTATGCTCAGAGGGGACGAACCCGGGTAACTGCAGCTGTCTGACTTTCCTTATCAAAGAACACGAAAATGCAAATATCACAAAAACACTTCCGCCGGGAACTTCCCAGTCTCCGTTAGACCTGAGGATTAGCATTAGCACCTTCTGCAGAGCTTTCCCCTTTCACCTGATGTTTGATCCAAACATGCTGGTTCTCCAGCTTGGAGAAGGTCTTAGGAAGCAGCTCAGATGTGACACTCATAAAACTCTGAAATTCCAAGACTGCTTCCACATAGTATCTCCTAAAATCAGTGCCACATTTGAACGAGTTCTCCTGAGATTATCTACTCCCTTTGTCATTCGGACCAAACTTGAGGATTCTGGCTCTGAAAATAAAGATAAGGTAAGGACATTAATTTTCAAGGATGTGTGTATGTGTGTGCGATGGGACAGGATTATTTATTCAGACAGAAGCAGCTCAAGTCCTGTGTACTCTGGACAGCTCAACTCTGCCTTGCAAAGAGGGGCGAAGCTGTATTCCCCAGCCAAGCGCATATTTTCCAAAATTATTTATTAGCTTTGCCTGTGATGTAGCAAATGGTGCCATTGCCATTCAGAAAATTCTGCGTTGTGGAGCTGAATAATGCATCTTAAATCAAAAGGTTGAGGAATTTTACAAAATGCCCAGATCTAATCCTGAATTTCACTCTAGCTATATTATGATAACAATAATAGTTATTAAGCCATTTACTAGGGAATAGCTTTCAGTATGTTTTCTGAAAGACTCTCACTGCAGGGTTCACGCTGCCACTTTGTTATGTCCTGCTTCCCTACTTTGAAACGCTGCTTTCCTCTGTTTCTTCTTATCTCTCACCCTGCAATCAAAGGAACCAGAGGTGTAAGTGGTATCAAGTATTGCTCATGCCAGTTTTAATGCGTTCTAGTCATTTAAATAGGCACTTGTCCTCCTACGCTGCCTCTTCCCTCAGTGTTTTAGAACAGAGCTACCTTAACTAGTGAGCGCTGTGTTGGGTTCAGTGCATCCCAGGTGAGTTAGGTGACAACGTGCCTTCTATATTGGACCTCTCCAGAGGCTGGGTGGAGTTTGTCTCATTGCATATCCTCGAATTATGGGAAAGCTTTTTGGTGTGAAGTTAGGTTCCAGCTTTATGCACCAGCATACTTGTACTTAATGATTACATTGAAAGCCTGTGGGTGGGTGCCTTGGAAATACTACTGCCGTAGGCGAAGGAATTACTGATTTTCAGATGTTTTAAGAGATAGCACCCAAGAATAGTCAATCACACTCGTTACTTAGACACCTAAGTTCTGCCCATGGATGCCACATTTACAGTTTAGGTGGTCTGGATATAGCTGGAGAAACTCCACCTCTGTTTTGCTACCTACACTGGGCCAGAGTTTCAGAAAGACTCCCGTGGTAACTGCATATCAGGTTCTGGGTTCTTTTCAAAATATAGCCACTTCTGACATCAGCAATGTTTCCAGCTCCTCTGTGGCACCAATAAACATATTTCTGCTGCATTTTCCCCTGTAAACAACACGTTCCCCCAGGAGAAGCAAACTAGTGCTTCTCATTTCGTATGAATTGATGTAGTTCAACCTCTTTAAAACCAAAAGGGAGGGTTTTTTCAGAATCTGTCCTCAAAGTCACACTAGCCTTTAGTTATGAAAGGGAAACATCATGTGAAAAGTTTGAAGTCATTGGCTCTGAGCTACCTTTTGTTTCTCCTTTGAAAGAGGCTTGTATCGTGCTCCTTACCCCCTCGGAGCCTGCCCTTCCCACTCAGGCACCTTCCCATGGCTTGGGACAGAGTGACAGCCCTTCGACCATCTTCCGCTTTTCATGAATCAGCTGTAAATCACTATAAAGAGGAAGAAGGTTTTGGGGAAGGAGTATGGGGTGTGTTAAAACTTTTTTTCCTATCCAGTTACAAGTTAAACAAACAAATAAACAAAACATTCTCTTATCTTATGCTTGTGGCTTAGAGGTGGCAGGGAGTGGAGCTTGCAATGGAAGCAGGTTTTAGCAGCCAGCTTGGGAAATAACTGATTGCGGAAGCTTGTTCTGTACCATCAAGCTGTGCAGCTTTGAGTGCGTCCGTGCATCATTGCTGTGGTTTGTACCATGTGTCATTACAGGTTGGTAATGAATTGAATCAGCGGTGGGCCCAGCTACCACCTGAGAGAGTAACCATCTCTGTCTTAAAGTCATGTGTAGAGTCAGACCCTGAACATCAAGTGTCAGCACTAGCACTGTAGTGGCAATTCATATTTTCTTGAGAAGCAGGTGAAAGGGAATAGCAGTAAAGGAAATCCTTTGTCTGCCAGCAGTTAGGAGAAAAATTGTGTCTTGAACAGTAAGGTGTGAATGAGAGAGAAAAGGGTGGCTGTGAGGTACAGGGGACCTGAGGTAAATACTGTGCTGCAGGCATGGGAATTAATTTGAGAATGTCAGTTTAGCTGAAGAGATATTTTATTCTGACTCACCCATTTTATAAGCACTTTCCAAAAGTTTCTATTTGTGAGTAGTTAAATGAAGCACAGCATGTGATACATTTTGCTAGATATTCCCTTTTTTTTCCAAAACGAAAACGGAACTGGAGTTTGTGGTTGTCTTGCTTACATAGATTTTGAGAGGAGCGACATGTCAATACTGTTATGTCATGCTCAAGTCCTTAATATCTCCTGGATAAAAAAACTAGACAGAGCCTTGGGAACTGCATACTGCATTATTTTCCCAGAGCTCATGTGACTCATGTAGCTCACTTTGGAATTCTTTTCAATTTTCCAGCACTTGTTTGGAAGATGAGTGTTGGGCAGGTAGATCAGTGCTGTAAGTATGACCCCGATTAATGTTGGCAGTAACCGACTTAGGTATTTCCCCGTTTCTCTGTCACACACCTCTATTCAGTTCATACTGAAATTGCATCCCACTTTGCTATTGATCTTCTTTTTTAGAAAATTGTGACTCTGAAATAACCTGAACATTCTTCAGACTTGGTTACTTTAAATGGCAGTTGAAGGGATGTGTCCCAGATAACTCTGCTGAAGTTCTGAAACCGTTCAGATGTCTCAGAGGTTCCTGAAGAAGTAAAAGATGTTTTAAAAGACTTTGCGATGAACAGAGGACCTTTCAGCCTCTCTTCAAAGCACTTTTATCTTCATTTGAATACATAAATCAGGTCTTTTTTCAGGCTTGCAGCGAGAAAGACAGAATACAAAACAGTTTTCATTTAGTCCTGACA